AAAGGTTTATGGACTCTGTCCTTCGTGGTCTTAAATAGGAAGTGTGCTTATGCTACTTGGATGACGTCGTCATTTTCGGGCATACCTTCGAAGAGCACAATGTCTGTTTAAGCCTTGTTTTAGACTGTGTCGGAAGGGCTGGCTTGATTTTGAACTCTAAGAAGTGTCGGTTTGGTGAACGACAAGCTTTAGTCCTCGGTCACCTAGTTGGCAAAGATGGTGTCAGGCCGGATCCCCGCAAAATCGAAGCAGTCGGCACATTCAAACCGCCCCAGACACCGAAAGAACTTCGCAGCTTCTTGGGCCTATGTTCCTACTTTCGCCGCTTTGTGCCCCGATTCGCGGACGTAGTACACCCACTGACGAGCTTGTTGCGAAAAGACAGCCCATTCGAGTGGACACCTGATTGTGATGCCGCCTTTTCTGAACTGAAATTTCTACTAACATCTGAGCCTATTCTTCGTCATTTCGATCATTCTGCTCCTACAGAAGTGCACAGTGACGCAAGTGGAATTGGCATCGGAGGTGTGCTTGTTCAGCGCCATGATAATGCAGAGCATGTTGTTGCTTATACGAGTCAATCTCTAAGCAAGGCTGAAATGAATTATAGGGTGACAGAGCAAGAATGTTTAGCGGCTGTATTCGCCATTCAGAAGTTTCGATGTTACCTCTACGGTCGTCCATTCACGATTGTGACAGACCATCATTCATTATGTTGGCTTGTGACCCTCCGAGACCCTTCTGGTCGCCTTGCTCGATGGGCTTTACGCCTTCAAGAATTTGACTTCAGCATTTCGTACAGAAGTGGACGACGTCATTCAGATGCTGATTGCCTTTCTCGCCTACCTATAACCACGACGGAGGACAGTGCAGATACCCTTGACATCTGTTTTTCTGCGGTCTTTCACACGTTTCCTGATGCCAATATCTTCAAACGAGAACAATTGAATGATTTATCTTTAGACCCATTGTTCGTTGACGCTCGGAATCTCAAAGGCAGTGGTCGCTTTCGCATTCGTGATGGACTGTTGTGCAAAACGAATTACTCAGCAACCGGCGCACGTTATTTACTGGTTGTACCTCAAAGTGTTCGATGCGACGTTCTCCGTACTATACACGATGATCCAACATCGGGACACCTTGGGTTCATTCCCACCCTGCATCGAGTGCAGCAGCGTTCTTACTGGCCCCGAATGCGAGATTTTACAAAACAATATGTCTCGAGCTGCGAGCACTGCCAGCGTCACAAACGACCTACCAGTGCACCGCACGGCCTTCTTCATCCCGTAGAACCGCCTACTACGCCTTTCGAGCAAGTGGGCATCGACCTATTAGGCCCCTTTCCGCGATCTTCGAACAACAACCGCTGGATAATAGTGTGCGTCGACCACCTTACCAGATACGGCGAAACCACTGCGATACCATCTTCTACAGCTGATGGCGTCGCTGCCTTTTATTATGCTCCGTTGTTCTTCGTCATGGTCCACCTCAAGTAATCATTAGTGACCGAGGTCGCCAATTCATCACGGACGCTGTGGAAGAATTGCTTCGCCTCTGCACTTCACAGTTCAGACATTCGACACCATACCATCCCCAGACGAATGGTCTCGTAGAACGTACCAATCGAACTCTTACTAACATGCTCGCAATGTACGTCGCGTCCAATAACAAAAACTGGGATGAGATCTTACCATTTATTACTTATGCATACAATACAGCGAAGCACGAGACCACGGACTTCACGCCCTTCTACCTGCTCTACGCTCGATCACCACGCAGCTCCCTTGATACAATCCTCCCATTTAAGCTCCATACCGATGAGTCTGTGGCCGAAACATTGTACCGGGCTGAAGAAGCCCGCCAAATTGCTCGCTTGCGAACACTGGCATCACAAGATCGCTCCAAGCAACGATACGATCAACGCCATGGTGCCATTTCATTCTGCAAAGGTGAATTCGTGTGGTTGTGGACCCCCCAACGAAAACCTGGTTTATGTCAGAAGTTTTTACCGCAGTACACAGGCCCCTACGTCATTGTAGATCGCTTGACTGACTTGACGTACGTTGTGGCACGCTTGACGACACCTTCTCGTTGGTCAAATTGAACGCAGTTGGTGCACGTGACTCGCCTCAAGATGTTTCATCCCTCCAGTGACATAAACTCGCCCAGCGGGCTTCGTCTGTGAACGGGGGATTGCTACGGTATGAGCCGGGCTGTAGTATGTGCCGGAGAGGTAGAAGAGGAAGACGACGTTGTCTGGTGCGGCCTGAGGACTCCATCTTTACCGCGACTGCCGAACTTTATCCTCACCCTGTAAATAAATCCTACTATCCTTTAATTCAACCATAACAATATTTATGTCCTGCGTTCGCGTCGCGTAATACCAAGTATGGTACACGTGAAGCTAGTGAAACGGCTGCGAGCGCATCATTAGCGTAGCATGTAGTCATGTTGTTACATGACACGCATCTCATGATTATCATGTTTGCACCAGTAGGCATACCATACTAGTTTTGCAACATGTCATGTGAACGAAACCACCACAAGAGTTATAGGACCATAAAATGTAAACTATGACATTCATGACATGCCATGATTTTCATGTTATGACTAGTCAATTATATTCTCCATATAGTCATGTAATGGTATACCAAGTGTAGTGGAGCATATGCACTCATGCGTATGCGCATTCCAAAGGGAACGAAAAACCCCGTGCTTTGATCGCGCGAGAACCTGTGGCACCTTTGCTAGACTTGCCGTACGCCCATTTTTCTTCGCGACCTCGCTGCGACTCCTCTGTTTGAATAAACATCATCGCTGCGGCGCGTAGTGTAGGACTTCCGAAGTATGCGTGGTGCGCAGGTGTGGGACGGCGGCGACAGAAGCATGCAACGTGGCCAGCGATGCCACACGCGAAGCAGATAGGACGATTGTCTTGGGTGCACCACTCATTAGATGGACGAAAAAGCGAGGTGGGGGCCTGTAAACTGGAGGCGAAGCCGGAGGAGGTGGAGCCGATAAGGCAACTGGATGTGGTAGGGGCCGCGCGAACACAGCTGCGTAGCTGGGAGGTGAAGGTGGCGGAGGTGGCGCGTAGCTGGCAGTTGATAGATCAGACCGTACCGAAGTGCATGGGTAAGAGGCTGGAACTGTAGGGAGGGCATCGCAAATTTCAGTGCGTATAGCCTGCTGCAGCGTCGAAGGGAGGCTTGCGGTGGGCGCGCCGCTATGCGGCAGCAGGGAGAGCTGTCGGGCGACTTCCTCCCTGATGAATTCTTTAATCTGGTTCGACAGAGTTCCTTGGCGTGCGTTGCCATTTGTGAGTGCGACGGCCGAGATGGAATCTGGTGATGGGACACTCTGTCGGGCGATGGAACGCTGACGACGCAATTCATCGAAGCTTTGGCACAGGCTTACGAGGACTGCCACAGTGGTCATGCTTTTCGCCAGCAACATCTGGAATACGCCATCCTCGATGCCCTTGAGAATCTGTCGAATTTTCTCTTCTTCCGGCATAGATGGGTTAACACGCCTGCAGAGGTCGAGCACATCCTCAGAAGTCTCGCCAGGCTGCTGGGCTCGGTGGCGTAGACGCTGGTCAGCGCGGAGTTTGCGGACCTCTGGTCGGCCGAACGCTTCGGTCACGAGGGTCTTAAATGTGGACCAGTTGGCGATGGCGGTTTCGCGGTTGGTAAACCATAGCTTAGCGACGTCAGCCAAGTAAAAGATAACATAGGTGAGCTTAGAATCGTTGTCCCACTTGTTGCTGGCACTTACGCATTCGTACATGGCAAGCCAGTCTTCGACGTCTTGCTCACTACTGCCGCTGAAGATTGGTGAGTTCCGCTGATGGGTAGCGCCGGGGCAGGTCGACAGTGCAGCCGATGGTGCTGGCTGTGCTGGGATGGGCTGGTTGGCGACTGCGTCAGTCATGTTGTACGGTGGTCTTTCGGCCAACTTGTGAGAGCGGAGCTCCAGGTCTGCTTAGGGATCTCAGCAGCCTCCACCAAATACGACAATGTTTATTCAAACAGAGGAGTCGCAGCGAGGTCGCGACGAAAAACGGGCGTACGGCAAGTCTGGCAAAGGCGGCACAGGTTCTCGCGCAATCAGAGCACGGGGTTTTTCGTTCTCTTTAGAAGGCGCATATGTGTTAGTGCGTATGCTCCACTACACAAGTATCGTATCGACATGATTATCAAAACGGCCAGGCGAGCTAAAAGTCGTAGGCGGCTAAATAGATAGATACGCTCAAAGTCGCCGAAGTTCCCTAAGAAATGCTTCGTATTTAATATATATCTTTGTGTAATGAGAATAACTGGGCTTGTCCTAGTCAATACGATAGACAGTTTTTTTAATTTCAGGAGTAATCATGATTCATATACTACTACTACTACTACTACTACTACTACTACTACTACTACTACTACTACTACTACTACTGCTACTACTACTACTACTACTACTACTACTAATAATAATAATAATAATAATAATAATAATGATTTCTGGGGTTCTAATGAACTGAAACCATCATATGATTATGAGAGACACTGTAGTAGAGGGCTTTGGAAATTTTGACCACCTTGGGTTCTTGATGTGCATCTAAATCTAAGCACATGCGCATCAAGCATTTTCGCCTCCATCGAATCCTGGCCGCCATGGCTGGCATGCAATCCCGCGACCTGCGGGTCAGCAGCTGAGTACTTTAACCACTAGACTATCGTGGCGGGTATGATTCATATTCTGAGTGGTTGTCTGTCCCTTTAAGTTCATAATAAATTAAGAAAATTTTTATTACTCGGGTCTTTTCAATATTATTTTAGGAGTGCATAAGTATTTTTGCCTCAGTAAAGGGTTCGTCTGCATAGTTGTTGAGTGCATTATTGCCATGGCACTTTGATGAAAAAAAAAACATGTACATGTAGTCAAAAGAAGGAAAGACACCCAGCAGATGCTAACTTCAATAGCCAATCGTCAATATTGGAGCAGAACGTCACCTTGTCTGGCAACATAGGAGATGCACTCCTTTTGGACATGTGTGTCTGTTGCAAGAGTCCTGATTTCTGGTGTCGTCGCATACACAGCAGAGTAGAGGAATAAAGGAATCAGCTGTACTATGCCGTAATACCTGCAGTGGCACAAAAATATGGTTAAATATGAATAAATATTCAGCACAATGCATCAATTCATAGTCACAGTAGCAGTCTTCCAAACTGCACTAATGATTGCTACAACTACGCAAAATACACTTGCAATGCGTTACTTATAAAAATATCGACTCAATCTGTAGCATGCCTGGTCGATTTGGCATTTCTACTGAGCATTCTACACTGATCTGCCTAGTAGAAGCATATGGCAGAAGTCCATAAATGCTCGGAGCCAAGCTAATTGGTAAGTACTGGGTGGACAAACACAGACACAAGAAAAAAGTCAAGACACCGCAAATGCCAACTAGCAACATGAAGGTGGGGGTGGGGGAGACTTGTCAATCTAAGCTGGATTGATAGGTATTGTCCAATGCCTAGGCATGTGCAAGTAAAAAGAGCTTGTTTCGCAGAAATTCCGGCGTCATCGTTGCTTGTAAGCGAAAAATCATCTTGTGCATGATTGAAAAAAACGGACAAAAATAAAAACAAAATAAATAATAAAAATTCCGAGTCGGAGTGGGGATCGAACCGGGGTAGTTTGTGTGGCAAGCGGGTGCTCTACCACACAGCCGTGTGTCTACTTGTGAATACAGTGAAAATAACTTCCTCTGCTTTGAAATGCAGTGAAAGTAACTTTCATGCATTACAAACACACACGTCCCGTATACATGCTCCACAATAAAACATCAACTATTGCACTAATGATGTGCGGTACAAGTGTCATCGGACGTCGCAGCATGTGATTATAATAATGTCTTCATGGTTTAAAGCCCGTCCCTCACTACAAAGGCACACACGCTGCACCCTTAAGGCCACAAAGTGGGTGCACAGCGTGTTCGAAAAGATTTCGTGCACTAAGTGTTTGAAGCACTCACTAGGGACAAGATATCGCCATCACAACTTTTAAAGGCGAAGTTTAAGGGTTCCCCAAATTTTGTGCCTTCTTTTATGCCATTGTGCTCCTTTGCAGTTGTAAGCCGGCATTTGTGTTGCTTTTTTTTTTTCTTATTGTTTCCATTTTTGCACGGCCAGTCTAATATAATCAATCAATGTATTGCCATAGTTTCTGGCTTGGCTGGACACCTTCATTCCTTTGTGAGCCATTGTAGGATAGAGCTGTGCAGTTTCCTGAAATGTCGGACTGTCCTTCCAAATGTTTTGCATGCAGATGCATTCTACACTGCGACAACCATATTTAACACGTCAGAATGACACCTCATCACCCGTCTTCCAATGCACAGGTTTAGGCCTTTTCGGTGAAATTACACAGGCTTTGGTACAGTTTTGAAGCAGAATTCAAAACTGAAAGGAAAGAGCAAATTCAGTGTGCAATATCTACCGAGTTGTATTGCCATCATATTAACTTGTTAATTGCAGTATATTTTTTAATTATATGTACAGACAGTTCATCATTTTTAAAGTTTTTTGTCTCTTAGAAATACCATACTCACATGACTGAATATCTTTTGTTCTTTCTTGGGAACAAATATTGTGGCCAAGAATTGTACCATTTTTTTTCTATAGGGGCTCAACATTAGAAATGGCAAAATAGGCAGAATAGTGTGTTAAAACTAAACTTGTACTTTTTTTAAGCCATGGAAACTTTTTTAGAATGCTAACTACAGTATTGTTATCCTGAGTTGAAGCTCTGTGTCAGTAGCAAATTTTATCAAAATTAAAAATGGTGGCCAGGACCTCGTGTTTGTTCTTATCGGAACACATCTAACAAACACATCAAAGAAACTGTTATCACTGGAGAACTCACAGCATGTTTCGTATGCACTCTTTGACTAGGCTAACTTCAACGTCGGCTTCAACTGCAATCTTAGCCACATGCCTGAAGCCATCAATGAATGGCAATATCTGAAAATCATGAGAAACATAAATTACTCCCACTGCAGGAGTAGCTTGATAAGTGTCGATACATTCTTCAGTGAATGTCTTAAAAAAAAAAGAAAAAGAGGCGACATGGTTTTGATTATTGATAAATACTGCATACTGAATGATAGACTGGACCCAAATGAGGATGCAACATCAAGAACCCTTGGCATTTTTTACTGTAAAAATACTTGTCCCCAACAAGAAACATAGGCTAGTGCTTATAAATGCACAATTGCTTTTCAAACAGTAGTTTTTTTTGTAGATGAAATATTCCAACTGCTGAAAGCACTGCTGCCAGAGATCTGTTTAAAACAACCTTATTCTGACAATCTCCACACTTCTTTAGTTCAAGTCATCAATAATACGCTGCTGATTGGGATCTCCAGACCACAAGTTGTCCAGGCCCACTGACCTTTGCTCTGAATCTTTTCTAGACTAACAAGCTAAGCACATGCACTAGGCATAGCAGCAATCGGCTCTCCTTTCTTGATAGATAATTTTTAGCTTTTTGAGCGAAGAATTAAGATAGCTGTTGAATCCTTGTACCAAGGCGACTAAAGCTAGCCTTGAAAGATTACATAAAATTAGGCATGACTGTGAACGCGGTAGTTAGTCACACTGCAGTAGAGTTTCCTGCTATCTGGACAAAAATTCACACGCAAATAGTTCGAAGAGTGGGTATGCCAGAAGAATTCTGCCATACTGAGTAATGCACAGCCAAAAGGCTTCATTTCACTAAGTGGCTGGTGGTGGGAATGATTGTTGGACTACGTGTTCCGCTTGCCACATAACTTATGTGCCCAGGCGCACTTCACTTATGTCTCATACACTAATTAAATGCGCCCTGTAGCAATTTGCTGCGTGGTCCAAATATGCTGCCAATCAATAGCAGAGGCTCTGAAAATGCATGCGCCAAAAATTCAGACACTGCGTGTAATTTACATTGAATTCTCAAAGTTAGCTAAAAATTGTTCCCTCTTCTCTCTACAAGTGGTTTCCTATCAAAATGACAGTACCATAAGCCATGATCACTAGCATCGTAAGCTGCATAGTGACCGCAGCTGCCGTGCCTGCGCTCCACTTTGTTACAAGTCGAGAGCAGTGCGACTTTTTGCCGTCAAGGGTCTTCCCTCCAGCTGACACTGTCGCTGCGTCAATGTGATGTTTCAGCTGACAACTTCGGACACACAGGCAGCCCTTAGACCCTAAATTTTATGGGTGTGTTATCATTGTAGAGTAGTTCTTATGGAATACTTCATTTCGAGCGAATATAAAATTTCATTCGAACTTTATTTACTTCTCCATTAGAGTAAAACACGTGAAACAGTTTGCCGGTCAGTGCATTCTCCCTCAACTGCTTGATTCTCGTTTTGCACATTGCCGTTCTTTTTTCCCCGCCATGGATCCCAAGGAGGTGACACAAAAATGTGCTTTACTACCCTGGAATGAAATTCACAGTTCGTTACCATCTACTTGTAATGCCTTACAGATGTGTAGTTTCTCTGCAGACCGACCAATAATGGCAGCAAGTGCTCCCCAACTTCACAAAAACCTTGATTTGTGGTGTAGGGGTTGCCTCACAAGTGCATTTGTCGTAAATTCCCCAAGAGAGTTTTTTAAAAGGCTCCAGAAAGGCCACTCTGTTAATCATGACTAAGCCATGTGTATGCGACAACACAAGCGAGCTTTAGGACACTTTGTCATCACCCCAAAAAATTTACAATATTAAGGGAAGATTGTTACAAAAGATTTGAATTGGCAATCAAAAATTCACCCTGAGGGGTTGCATTTGACCAAAAAATTAAGGGACACCAACCCTCAAATGTTTGCAGGACACCATGTCCCTTGAACCTCGACACATTAGTGAGGTAAAACTGCTAATTTCCTCAGATGCTTATTTGCTAATGAGAATTATTGACACAAATCTGAGTAGGATGCAGTAGGCATCAGCTCCACCATTTAGAATAGCCTGAGGACATGCTGTTCTTTATATAAGCACACTGAGAAGACGCAGCAGATTACGCTATCCAGCAACCACGCGAAGTCATGCATCACTGAATACTGCTTACAATAGCACAGCCACAAGCAAGACATAAACCTGGCTGATAGTTTGATAAAATAAAGCAACGAGCCCACTTGGTTAAAGGGCTGATTTCAACTTGAAGTCGTGCCATCTGCTAAACAGAACAAATTGGCAGTCAGTGTGTCAAGCTAACAGCCTAATCACTGCACTGCTCTCATGAGGCAGTAACAGAGCTCCATTCAATGCAATTACACTTGACACTTATCTCACACATGACAAGTATCAATACCTGTCAGAACATCACAACAAGGTTACGATGCAACAAGAGCACTTGAGCAAATGCTTTGTTTACAAGATACCCAGGTTAGGAGGCCACACAACTTTATCAAGAGCAGCACACGCAGAAAGTTGGATGTTGAGTTTAGGTAGAGATCAGACTTTTCAGCATTTGCATTCTAAGAAAATTCGGTACTTATGGGCACATTTTTTTTTTTTACAAAGCTGTATTTTCAACGTTTTTGGCACCGTGAGAAGCTCTGCACACTTATATACTTAGTTACAGTAAACCCTCATCATAACTAAGTCACTTTTTTTCAAATTATTGCCTTAAGAAAGTGGCAACCCAACCCATATGAATGGAAATCAGACCAGATTCCTCAAAGCCTGCAAGCAAAGAGCTTTGTCAAGTATTACAAGCAAACCCACAAAAGTTTGAAACCTTGAAGTGCTCGAGCAAAGAACCAAACTGTCCTCACTGCCCGGCCAATGTTGCAGAGCGTGAGACACGACTGCCACTTTTTCACCAAATATAGAACAATGATGATAATAGGCAGCTTTCCCCAACAGCTGCCGCGCGCGCAATCTTGGAGGTTATAGGGAAGCAAGGAGCTGCCTCTGCCAATCTGCCACGGTATCATACACTGTCAAAACTGTAAGTTCGGTTGGCAATATCAGGCCCTGACATGGTCAGCCTGACAACTATGCCGTGCATGCTCCTCATTAGTCGAGTCGGGGCTCCAAAGGATTGACATCTAGGTTACAGCTGGCATTCTCTGGTGTGCATGAAGCCCGTGCTCTAGGTAGATCACCACGAAACTTGGTTCCATGTCAAGAGACCTGCACAAAAGCTTCTTCACGTCTGGCTGAGAGTAAAAAAATAAGTCAAGCGAGTATCGTAGTCATACGCATCAGCCTGCAAGATGCAATATCGAGGCTTTCAGTGAAGGCCGTTATTCTCTATGTATCCACCTTGTGGAATATCTACTTTGTCCTCCACTGATTCCTTCGCTTTGTCTTCCACTCAGTGAGCAGTGCACCCCCGTTTTTGGTCCTTCTTCCGCAACATTATTTTAACATTACAAAGCTTTCGAAACTCTCGACACAAATGAGAAAGATGGAACGCGTTGCACTGCAACAAATGTTGCCCCCTGAGACACTCATCTCGAAATTCGTGCGTGAGCTTTAATCTTGTTAGGCATTGAATTAGGTTTTAGGCGGCTGCCCACCTGACTCACCTGGAAGGTCGGTACGCATGCCCTGCATCATTTTCAAACATCTGGACATATTCATGCGTGAGTTCAGGCTTGTGAAGTTTGCTGAGGTGCCCAGTTACTATACATTTCGTCTGCTTTCTTTACACTAGGAATGTACTGGTGGGTTCGGTACGTCCACGCGATAAAAAGTGCCACAATATCACAAATCGCAATTTTTTCGAGCAATTGAATGTGCCTCACTAAAGTGGATAATGTACAAGATGGATACATAGGAAATTGAGCCCCGTTCACCTTTGGCGGCACCGTCGGGTGGGCAACAATTGCCAGTAAGTGCACAGGAAGGGCCTCAAAGATGATGCCATCTAGTCCACTAACACAGCTGCAGCCACATATGAATGTAAATGTAGGGCACTCCATTGAAAAACCATAGGAGATTCCGACATTGCTAACGTGCACGTGTCTGCCCCGGAACAGTACTGAGGCCACAGACTTGCAGAACGCTTGAATAATGTGCCGCCAGAGACTTGCTTCAAGTTCAAATGACCACCTCTCTAACAGAGATGAATCACCGAGATCGAACTGCTTAAAAACGATGTTTCTTTGCTTCCACAATGTTGCCAAACAGCTGGAACGCAACACTAATTGTGCACTCACTTCTACCGAATTCCTGTTCATATGTTTTTTTTTCCATATTTTTTTTCAATAATGTTTAGTTAAGTTTACTGTACAAGAAAAAAAATTTTGATTAACGAAAGGCAGCAACTAATTACAGTGGAAATTTTTCTAAAAGGGGTACTGACAAAAAGTTTGGCCAGGTGCTTTCTTTTTCTTTTGAATATGTAGCTGGGGGATATCACTAGCTGCAGCGTCTCACAGAATATTAATAGTCCGTTTATTATCAAGCAGTCTCAACTTCAATTTGGAATAGCTCTGAGCACAACAAGACACCGCGTGCAACTACTACTTCTAGCATGTGAAACAGCACACAGAACTCTGATGCACTACATCTGTTGTCTGCTTGTGTTCTTTTGTTTACCACATGTGTGGTGCTGTCATCATTACTATCGTCATGCAGTTGCAACGACTTTCTTGAGCTATGTTCACCACAGTCATGACTCGCATGCAGCCGTCCAATAGCCGCAAGCAAGGCAAGAGCGTAATGGTGAATTGTCATATTAGCCACGCCAGCTTGATTCTCGGCCCTGATGTCCTGGAAGTAGGGGGTCACTATGACGATGATGATGATTATCAGGTCACTAGTGGTGATTATCAGGTAGACTGGTTTCAATATTACGAAGTGCAGTGTATAGCATTGATCATGCACTTTCATGTTTGTAAATATTGCCTGCCAAGGTGTACCCGCTATTCGTAAATGATACATATGTGTACACAGGCATCAATCCCTCAGAATATCTCAGCTGCAATTCTTTTTTTTTGTGTTGGTGTCTATATAAAAGGTCTAAAAACACTTTTCCAAGTGATCTTCGCATGATCTTAGTATTTGCGATTATGGCCTCCACAATCCGTTGCCTCAAAAATTTCTTGAAACTCGTGATGAAACTCGTGAAGATGTGATCACGTGATGATGTCACGATGACCACAATTTGTGACATCATTGTGACATCATTTTGACATCAGTGACGGCCACACGACATCATCACGTGGCATCATTGCTTGATGAAAGGTGGTCTGATCACGGAGGCAATGCAAAATTAGGTGGGTGCCTCCAATCTTGCGAAACCATGTTAAGTGCAGAAAACTTTCAAAAGGTGGTGGAGAGAGTCCATACATTGATGGAGAATAAAAAGAAGATGGCTTTAACTTTAGAGTCGTCTCAAGTGAATGCATCAGAGACCCTGAGAGTTTTTCCTGAAACCTGTCCACTCAATCTGTTTGTGAGTTGGTATGAACAGAAAGGCGCACCAATATACTACAAATAACCCCCCGTCAGCTTAACGTGCCACTTTTTCGTGCATGCCAGGTGACGAAAGAACAGATACAGCCCTTTTTCGTCATGATGGCCTCCCTCCACAAAATAACACCAGACTTGCAAATGGGAAAGCAGCAAGTGGCCCTACATCCAATATACTTGGGACTGTTCGGTAACACGGTGCAAGCAGCCATAGTGAAATCGTAAAATTAGTCCAACATAAATCGGTAAACACTGAAAACTCCAATTCCTGTAGCGATGTGTTTTAGCATGGCTGTTGTTAACAGAGAGCAAGACCAAAAGCCAGATGTGACATGCCTTACCTGCATTGCTGTGATATCCCACTGATGATCCATTAAGGAATATAATAATAATAATAAAATTACAGGGGTGGGCACGGGAAGAAAAAAGAGAGCACACACAACTGGGCATTAATAAGCAGCCACTGCACCATACACATCAGGACATGTAAAGAAGAAAGCCAGACATCACACCATTGCACACGATAACAAGAAGCTGCTTGCACAAGGACAACACTGCTACAGCAAGGATGTGCCCATGACACAGATGCTGCAAGGCTTCGTAAATTGGGAATTATTGTGGGACTAATATATGCAAATTTGAGTCACCCTGTGGAATTTCATGCAATAAGGAAATGGCAAATGCCAAGTTGCAGCCAAAGCAAATTAACAAAATTTTATTAAGGCTCCATGAATAAAATTAAAGGTAGCGATTTAACAAAAAAGGCTTTTATGCACTGTTGCTTTTTTTTTAAGGAGTACAGCTACACAATTTCTACAGGATAGGAATGCTCCTATGTAAAGTTTGTGCTACTATATATTGCCATGCTTTTGTTTGCATTAGAAGTGAAATAGAGAACATAAATATGGCAAGAAATTTCCAACCTTTACATGCAGTTGCTTTAAAAAAGTTTCAACCTTCCTGCAATGTATCGATTCCCCACACATCTACACGAGGAGTTCTAAAGTCCTGCTAGTAAGCAATTTTATTTGTCGCAAATCACCATCAATAAACACCTGGTCAAAGCCACTGTGAGCATGACTACAATCAATGTACTTTAGCCAATACTTTTTTGCAGACTAGTTGGTTCATACTTGAAAAATTGATTTGCTGCACAAACTTGAAGGAAAACAAGGGAGACAGAAAAGAGCGCAGACTACCAGCTGTTTATTGTCGTTTCTTGAAGCCAATATATACGCATGCTACGCTGCGCTTCCACGATGGATACCCAGCACAGTTTTCAGCTAGCGCTTGCAAAAGCCTTCTTAAAAAATACAAGGGCGGGGGTCCAAGCATTGAAGGAAGGGAGAGGAGGCCTATTTATGTTATGCCTTACTTACATAGTGTTTCCCACAATGTAAAAAAGGTGGCTAATAGGTACGGTGTTGATGTACTGTTTTCAGCGCTTACAAAGTTAGGTCAGATCTGTTCGTTAATGACTAAACAGAAGAAGGCAAAATGCACAAAAAAGCATGCGAACGTGTTCATTAGGTGTGTATTTGCTGTTGTATACCTGATCCCTTTGTTGTGTGGGAGGGTGTACATAGGGCAGACGGGACGTTGCCTCAACGAACGCTTGCGTGAGCACAGTCTGGCCGTAAAAGGAAAAAAATGGTGGTCATTTAGATTTCCACTGTAGGACATGCAGTTGCATCCCCCGGTTTGAGAATGCGTCAGTCATGGCTAAGGCACGTGAAAATACCGAAGGGGAGATTATCGAAGCGTACTTTATCAGGCAATATAATGACAAGTGCATAAGCATGCCTTCAATTTCACTTTCAGACAGGGAAATGGTCTTCCCACATGGTCATGTGCAATGTAGTGGCTAACGCCTTGCATTGTGTTCTCTTCCATTTCTCTTATTTTGTTTTGTTCATTAGTGTTCTTGTTTTATTTCCCATGTGACGCTACGTAATGTTTTGTAAAGTTTTATGTTATTATAGTTTTTGACTCTCTCAGCGTACTGCTTCTTCGGGTCGCTCAATTGGGGCTGCTTGGAGTGAATATAAAATTGTTATTTTATTGTTTTATTCGGTGCTAAGCGCTATTTTTAGTGTTTTTTAAACAAAAGTCTCTAGAGTACGTTTTCATTTTTTCATGCCTTTGTTGATGCTTGGTGCAATAAATAATAAAAGATAAATTTTAAAAAAGATGAGCGCACACCTTGGGAATACGCAGTTTAGATTGTGGTGGGTATTACTTTTGTATTTTGCCATTTTTAACCTTTGTCATTGTGGTGGCAGTCAATTTCGATTCGATTTGTTTTGGGTCGGCTTTGTTTGCGGCATCTTTGGTTTTGTGCGCATCGTGGAAGCGCAGCGTAGCATGCGTATATATTGGCTTCAAGAAACGACAATAAACAGCTGGTAGTCTGCGCTCTTTCCTGTCTCCCTTGTTTTCCTTCAAGTTTGTGCAGCAAATCAATTTTTTCAAGTACTTTAGCCAGCCAACTTGTAGCATATTGGGAGGCAAACCTTCCTCCTCAACCTAACACCACGAGTTCCATGGGCATTACATTATCGGATATTTTCCTGCTAGAGGCTGCACAGAGCACTTGCATATCATTTTCCACAGGGATTCAAATTCACTTGAGAACGGTGTGTTGTTGAGCTAGTCGGTATGACATATTATTCAAACTTACGTTGTGCTTAGGATGGGACACGAGAGACGATGCAGACAAGAAGCCTGCAGCATTAGCACATAGAATCATTAACTGCATTCTTCCTGTCTGCACCTCCTTCGGCGTCCTGTCCTAAGCGCAGTTTAAGTTTGAAGAATAGGTAAGAATACCGCTCCAACAAAAACTGTGAACAGTACGCGGCAATGCCTGCACTTAATTTAGTATGCACAAGTGAGCAAGCTGTGGCTACAATAATCCTACACACAGTCATCTGCTTGAGAGTACCCACGTAACCACGGATATCCGCTGGCTGTTCATTATAAATACAAATTTCCGGCGTATGGATATTCAACACGAATAGTCAATGAACGTACTGTGAAAATCCACGTCCTGTGTGGCTGTTTTCTGGACGTCGAAACTGGATGTCCCACCGGACATTAAGTTTTGAACACTGACTAGTTGTCCATATAAGGACATGCCAAGGGTATGTGCATTTGCTCATCAATTATTGTAAAATTAGAATGTAGTGAAAATATATATAGATCTGCGAATCATGGGTGACAATCTTGTGAAATTTTATTAAAAATACTACTATAAAATTTATTCAAACTTTGGCACACGCATTTGATCCCAAGATGCCAAATAATTTTGCTTCCTGAAGCAAAACAATCTGATTGATTTAATATGCATATCATATGTCATAAGAAACAATGTATTTATGTAATTATTATCGCATGTGAACTGACAAAAATGCGGATCGAGTGCGCCATAGCAATCATCATGTAGGCAAACTTTCATGCGCTAGCCTCAACACTTCTCAAAAAGTGGTGCACCGCAGTTGCTCAGATTCCTCGAACGTACACGTCATGCTAGCCGTGCCCCTGTGAATGGGTTGGTAGAGAACGCGTGCCATTGTGCTTACTGTCCTGAAACCTACTTGACCAGCAGCGCAAACTGAGAGAAGGAGCACAGGAAAGGAGGGTGTTCGTTTCGCATTGCACATATGTACGCTGAGCCGGTCTCTAAGCCGCAGAAGGCAGATTTGCTTTTCAAGTGCGCCCGTGTGAAGATGACTTTTCTACAAGAAACACCGAAACGTGGCACAAGCCCACCATTGTTTTCGGCAGAGAATACCATGGCAAGCAGCAGCAACCCCTCTCACTCCCACGGCACAGATAAGGCCACGTGTTGCATATCTGTTCTTTGTCTCATATCAGATATTCATCTGTTCTCATCATGCCTTAACTATTGTCCATCATTTGTATAAGCCCTGGTAATACGTGGCATGTTTCCAGTTCTTCATTTGCTCGCATATTCCTTGCTATTAACCGATTTAAGATGAGCACGTGGTCAGTGCTTGTACACCTTCTATATGATGAGCATATGCTACACCCATTAGTTTTTATGCTGTGTTTGTCTGTATGTACTTATTGCAGTTACTATACTAGAATAACATTGCCATAAACACGCACCAGTTAGGTTTGTTGCTAATAACTTAATTGAATAAACCCACAGAGAAGCAATTGCTGCCGCCCAAGAAGTCATCGCACTTGAAGGCGGAAGAGCATTAAGCACTGAAATCTTGTAAGACTACGTACACACTTTCACAATCGCGATTGCGGACTGTGGGTTATGTGCTTCTTAGTCTTGATATATGTTGATAATAAACGTTCGATCGCTCTTGACAGCCCACTTGGACTCCATATTTTTTTTAGAATTCATTTGCTGCAGAAAAGTTCCTGCAGAAAAAGAAAAAAGACGGGCCTCCGAGTAGGCTGTGAGGGTACGTTGTTCACATGAAAGATTTTTTTTTGAATATGCACTAGCTATATACACCAAACATTGATGTGTGTGTGTGTGTGTATATATATATATATATATATATATATATATATATATATATATATATATATATATATATATATATATATATATATTCTGAAGGACCTGTCAGTGTCCATGTTGATGTCGAGCAACTGTACAAATTTGTTATCTTTGTACATTCAATGTACGTCCGTTGCACGTACAGTTAACATTCGTGGACATTTGATGGTTGTTCGGATTATACGAAGTGTATGTGCTGTCGTATGCCTGCTGTATATCTGAGGTTACTTAGGTACACTGACATGACTATGTATGTCATCTATGCTACGCCTCACCGCAAGAACATCTTATAATGCTAGTTGGGTTTTAGTGAACTCAACACAACCCTGCAAGGCTGCCTGACGCATCAACAGGTAGCTGAAGACTGCTTCACTAGATGTGGGAAATTCAATCTTTAGCACATGCATCCTGATGGGGTATGGAGATGATAGTGTTAGTGCATAAGCAATGCAGCCCATGCTGACATTCAGAAACCTGACAACTATATAACAACATCAGTAATTGCTAATACAAGTATATAGAACCTTTTCAAATTTTTTTTGGACAATACAAATTTCAGTGTAGTAAAAGGTGTCTGTAACATCTCAAAGGTCTGGCCGATATGTAGGACATCTGAACGAAGCCTTACATGTTGTCGAGGGTCCTTACATGTTGTCGAGGGTCCCGTTGCAGTCTTGTACTTTGGGACCCTCGTCTGTATATTTTACTCCCTGTAACATCCTTTTATGACATGATAATAAATTGATTGATTGATTGATTGTCATGGGAACATTATCCTTATCAGAGCATCACCCTACATTTAGTTAATTTTCATCTTTACGACTTCCTGGACAGCATGTTTTCCATGCAGTTTTTTTTATACTATAAGAAAGGCACACTTTATCCATGAGAACGAGACAAGATGGTGATAGTGACAAATAACAGTATGCTGCAAGCCCCCTTCCCCCCTCCCAGCCAACTCCTCTAACAACCAACCTGGCGTAACTGAATAAAACGGTGGTGTGAATAAGCAACCTTGATACAGTACATTGCTTCAATGCAAACACAGCAGTACATTGGTGTGGGCAATCCCTGCTAAAATTGTACCACCTGTATGCAGACAAGGTAGGCAGCCTTTCATGCATCATTCTCCCTAGCTTGAGCTACCCTTGCAGGCTCTCACTTGCGCAGAGAACACAGGTAACAGATGTCATATACGTAACCGCAGGGCAATGGCAAAAATGAACCTGGAGAGTCCATATAATTGCCACCATAGCAAAAGGTTCCTTCTGGAAAGTGCTGAGTGTTACCATTAACAGCAAAAAGCAGGTACTGAACTCATCAGGCCACATATTGGAAATTGACAGAGTACTGACACGAATTTTAAATATTTACAGAACGTAGCTCTAAATCAAGACACTGGTGTCAAAGACCCCAAAATTGGGAATAAATATATATATGTTTAACACCACTACCTTAAAACACCAATATCAGTTTAGGTATCACGAGGCAGTCTATGCAGTGATGTGCAAACAGACTAAACACAAGCCTGACTGTCGGGAAGACTGCAAATCGTGGAAATACTCACAACAGCTGCCTGTTTGCTGTTTGTTCACAAATACAATGATTAGTGAATTATCACCCACTGACACCGACAACCATTTCTGTGATTGAGGCTCCATGCCGATGCAGAGTTCACAAATTCAGTGGAACTGTGTTTACTCGTCAGGATGATTCCCACTGCGGTAGAACTAGCTTGCCGGTACTCTGTGATGAAAACTTTCAAATCAAAGTAAAATATTTTGTGTGTTGCGTTGCTCCGTGTGTGAAGAGCATTGATAGTGCACACCATAGAAACAAAATATGCACCTCAAAATGGTGTCAGTACTCCGTTAAATACAGGCAGTCACATTATCTTTGGTTTGAGAAAGAGCCTTCTTGGATTCCATCCTCATCAGGATAAAAGCTGAGCTCTTTCACGTGGATGCAGTGTTTTCACTGCCTCAGCGGCATGCACGAGTCAGGCAAATAAAATTTACTTGTTGCGTGGTGAGGTCCCACTGAGAGGGCGTGCACGCTGGGCGACTAGCTGTAAAGATAGGCACGTCGTGGTCCGACACCAATCGAGGGGCTTCGTGCACTGTGGTCACTTTCAGGTAAATTGTAGTTGATTCATCTGAAAGAACACCATGCCGTGCTAAGGAGCCCTGCTCTTGCAAGATAAGTTCTCAGAAAATCCTAGCATAAGAGGACTGCCCCATCAGCTTTGCGAAGGAGTGGGTGGGAGGTGTCAGTTTATGACTAATATTCAAAACTGAGATTGCCAATCACAAATGCCTTTTTAGTCAATTAATAAGCACAGTGTTCGCAGTTATAAGGAGCGTGTTAGCTTCAAAATCTTGTCAGGATACTAACTCTTCACTGGCCATTGAAGGTTTCTATGAGAATCCGCTGACTGAAGTCAGATGAAAGCTTAAAGCTGAAGTCTGGCCTTGTGAAGACGAAGTGTTTCAATTTAGCGAAACAAAAAGTTGAAACACTTCTTTCTTTCTGCTAAATTGAAACACTTCTTTTTTTCTGCTAAATTAAAACACTTCTTTCTTTCTGCTAAATTGAAACACCTCTTTCTTTATACTAACTCCTGTTTAAGAACTACAGGCTAGGAGGGAACCGTTACCTCCCTATTTGTCCCTGTTTTAGCTCCAAGGTTGTTAGGATGTCCTAACTATATTGTCTTCCGATGTTACTTATGTCATTCTGTTAAATTACAGTTGGATATGCATGCTCAGCAACAGTGATGATTGGTAATCTGTCATATAAGATGGCCAAACAACTATGAGTGAGCATGTGCATGCCTTATGAAGTACTAAAAGCAAAAGGAAGGCTTACAAAATCACTATATTGCTATAAATATCATAACAGTTTGATTTCACTATAGAAACATCACTTTTCAGCAACCATCAGTCATGGAACTCGTTTCCAAGCAAAGAATCTGAACAGAAAAAAAAAAGGGTAACATGTGGTGTCGGGGTTTCGGTTCCAGTTTTGGAACCGGTTGGCTGGCCCCTAGGGGCATTTTACATATGTATATTTCTAGATATTCAAGGGGCTCATGATAGTGTGATTCAAGAATTGTGGGGAATACTGGACATACTAGATGTGGAAGATGAAATAACTAATCTTCTAAAGGATATCTATAAAAGAAACAAGGTAGTTATCAAATGCGAAGAACAGGTATCTGAACCTATAGATACAATTCGGGCTTCGACAGGGATGTCCCTTGTCACCTTTGTTATTTATGCTGTATTTCCATGAACTAGAATCCAAATTGGAGTGGAGTCGACTCGGCTTCAGCCTCTTTTTTTGCCAAGCAAGAAAAACACATTGAACAGTGATTGTCGTTGCCAGCATTGATGTATGCAGATGATATAGTATTAATAGCCAACAACAAGGAAGATCTGCAGGGATTGATAGACATCTGTGGTAATGAGACAGGTGCATTGCCTTACTTGTCTGTGTATACTGTACATTTTTATTCTATTGTGTATTCGTCTTTGCCTGATATACTGTTGTACTTTTGGTATGTATGCTGTATACATGTTCATTATTCTTAGGCAATGTGTTAGCTGGTAGGACCCCCGAGTGTTCTTCAATTCAAGAGGGGGGGGGGGGGGGTGATGTGGTGTCGGGGTTTCGGTTCCAGTTTTGGAACCGGTTGGCTGACCCCTAGGGGCCGTTGTACATATGCGTATATAGTGATGCTTGTGTATATAAAAATGAGTTCCAGTTTTGCTACCGGCTGCTGCATACTTCTTTGCGGCCGCCGCTTCGCGCCGTGCCCTGTGCTCTCCGTGCGTCGCGTCCGACGCACAATACTACAGTAAGGATGGCAACAACACGACAGAAATGAATAACCACCAGGAAATATAAGGCATACTTATCGGAATTGAACAGCTCCGCTTGATGTTCAAGTCGTGGAGGATTTTCGACATGATCTCCGGCAGCTGGCACTTCTTGGCGTCATTGCGGATAAAATTAGTCTCTTGCTGCGTTTGGCCAAACAAGCAATCGTTTCAGTTCACGAAACGTTCACTGAAATTAGTGGCATGGCTTACCTCAAGGGTCGTAAGGTAGTTGGCCAACTTTCTCACGATAGGCTCGTACTGGATGGTGCGCATTTTGGCATCACAGACGAAGCAGAGATTAAACATAAGTCTGTTTCTGTCGTATTCGGCACTGTCGATCCCCACTGGATAGCCTATCACTTTCATTTCGCACATGTTCCTGGAAAGTCGGTAGTGTGTAAATGCCATTTAGTTACTCTGAATCAGTTTCACGGCAGTTCATTATCGTGAAGCTAACTGCTCCAATTTTCAGTCTCTCCCTGACACGCTCAATATGCGCGAGACTTGTAAAAGAAGACCCAAACCTTACACAGTGATCAATTTGTGCTGAAGCTCGGGCTTCGGTATGAGGTAGACGCTGATGGCACTAAACGTTTCTTCACTGATGTAGTTCACGGGAACCTGCCGAAAGCAATCAGTTCATATTAATGGGCAGCAACAGGATGCATAACACAGTTGAATGCGTACACGCACCTGGTACATTATCTTCGGCCCAGCCGTTGGATGAAATTCGCAGAAAAATATGCATTTTATCGGGCTATCGCGAACTGTACCGAGAGCCATGTTTGTTTACGCACGCGAAAGCAGGCAGTATCCCTAGATGCCCTAGATCATGCCCTAGATCATCGCCTCCTCTAGAAAGATGCCTGAGGAATGGCTCACGCTCCCAGCGGTGTTGGCCTGCCTTCAGTTTTAAACAAGCTCTGCGCGGTGGCGCTCGCGACCGACACTAACATCACGGCTGCAGTGGCTAGAATAGAAAATTGTGATGAGCGGCAAGCAGCGCCTACGGAGCGCACTGAAGCCTCTGAGGAGGAGCCGCGTGGGGGCGCGTGCAGTCGCGCCCCCATGCGGCTCCTCCTCATACGTTGTTTGCACGTTTCCGACAGGTTGGTCGGGCGCGTTCGTCCACGTTTTTTTTTTTTTATTCCGTGGCACTCTCACACCAATGCTTCTGTATGCACTCTCATGGCGCGAAAATAAAGTCATTGCTTCGTCCCGGGGTGCACTACAGGCTACAAGTCAGGTTGTTCGGCGTTAGTAAGAACAAAGCTCTGCGCAGTGGCGGAGAGCGATACCGCGCGCTGACAAGCCGCTTAAAAAAAAACTTGGCTGTGTGCAAGCTGCACTTCGGCGAGAGGTATGTACATCTCCCGGCACTTCGAGCTCACTGTGAACGGCGAAATGGTTCGCATAGAAAGGGGTAGGCCCTTAGGCGTGCTTGTCGTTCGGGGGGGGGGGGGGGGCGAAGGTTCGTTGCAGTGCGCCCCCTTCCTATTAATTCAGTGTATGAGGCAGATTTTGCGCCCCCCCCCCCTTTAGATGACTTAAAAAGTGCCCCGCTGCCTAGTCAATCTATAGAGCAGATTTAGCGTCCCCCTCACAGGTGACTAGGGGGGGGGGGCGCTCACCCCCTTTGCCCCCCTTGTGCGGACGCCTATTGGTAGGCTTTTCGGTGAAGCTCTTCGTATTTGCAGACGCCCTTGAAATCCCTTTTTCAAAGTGGTTTTGCTACAACGAGCTTCACAGTGACAGCTTGAAAGAGCCTTTTTTCTGATTAAAAAACAAAAACAAAACAAAAATGTCACACTTGGCTGTGCACAACATGGTTTGAGCCTCACCAATCAAGAGAACACGTTTTTTTCTGCTCACCCATTTGCGTCTTTACACAAAGGCACTCCACAAGGAGCGAGCATCTTCCCGTGAAAAGAAGTACCTGAAGCCCAGGCGCGTCATCTGCTCTCAGTCCAAAGGAAACAATGTTCTGTGGGGTGCTTGTGAAATATAAAACTTTTCTTCTTGGGATAAAAAAAAGACGCGCGACCAATTATCAAGTATGCATTGTTGTAAACAGATAGTGAGTCACTACTCGGAAATGCCTTGTATGACCAGTGTGCAGAAAATAAAAGGTTTTCATTAAGATACCACTCGGGATTCTCGTTCCTGAAATGATGGTTCGCCGTAGAAGGTGTTGCAAACAGTGTCTCACAACCTAGTCCATCGTTCCACTTTTCTACCATTTCACATCAATAACTTTGTTTCAGTGCCGTAACGCGCTCACTTTCGGCACCCTGTCGATATTTCAGTTCAGTCGTGCACCCGAGTAGGCATCCAGTAATTCCAGAAGCTTATTAGCATATTTTTTCGGTCGCAATTTGAAACCATGCACGAGCAACAAAATATATTTTATATGTTTCGCGTTGCCCGCGCGCGTATTTGATTCCCGTCTCATACATGCGCAGCCCATCACCAGCTTGGGTGACGTGCAAACGTGTGCCAGCGCCATCTGGCAGTTTCCTCCCAAGGCGTTACGCGCTAGCCGGCGCGTTCATCACACTTTTCTATTCTAGCCACTGTAATCACGGCGGCGGGCGGAGCGTTTTTCATCTGCGGCCCATAGGGGGCGCGTCAGTCGAGAGTTGTTTGAGACCTGCAACTGTGCATCACTCTTTCGGAGGCTATGCAAAGTGTAGCGTTGTTGCACCGTCCGCCACAGGTGACGCTAGCAACCAAGAACATTTTCAAATTGAAGGAGAGAAAGGGTGTGGCAGCTGTTTTTTTTTTCTCATGCGGCAGGCATCTTCCTAGAGGAGGCGTTGCCTAGATCAACGCCTCCTCTAAATAGATGCCTGAGGAATGGCTCGCGCTCCCAGCGGAGTTGGCCTGCCTTCAGTTTTAAACAAGCGCCGCGCGTTGGCGCTCGCGATTGACCCTATCATCCCGGCAGCAGGCGGTACCAGCCATCGCCTCCTGGATTTCCCGTGCCTGCCGGATTATCGACGGTCACTTGGGAAGCAGCGGTCGTCGGAACTACAGTAGTGGCGCCACTCAAGTAGGGGGTGTCTTCAAATAGGTTTTTACGCTTTTGGAACTTATATGCAACAAAAATAACGTAAAAATTTTAAAAAAGCGTAAACGTAATTATAATTAATCCTACGTAAGTGACGACGTCATTCAACAAGCAACTTTTTTAATACAAGGCATCCTCTGAGTAGCAAACGCCAAAATTGCCAATCTCAAAGGCCAAGTACAAAGACCCTTACCCCTACGTAGGCAGCGCTGCCGTAGAAGACTGGCGTTTCGCGCTCATCCGGCAGGCACGGGAAATTGAAGGCGTTGTACCAGCGAAGTGGTTTTTATCTGCGGCCCATAGGGGCGCGTCAGTCGAGAGTTGTTTGAGACCTGCAACTGTGCCCCACAGTTTCGGTGGCTATGCTAAGTGTTGCGTTGTTGCACCGTCCGCCACAAGTGACGCTAGCGACCGAGAACACTCTAAAACGAAGGAGAGAAAGGATGTGGCAGCTGTTTTCCTTCTCATGCGGCAGGCATCTAAATAGAGGTGGCGTTGCCTTGATCAACGCCTCCTTTATTTCAGATGCCTGACGAATAGCTCGTGTTGCCAGCGGAGTCTAGAATATAAAGTCACCCTGCCTTCACGGTGGCGCTCACGACCAATGCTATCATCACGGCGTTTTTACTGGATGGATGGATGGATGTATGTGGATGTACCCTTTAAATTGGGCGGCGGCTAACGCCACCTAGCCCTAATACTTAGTGAACTAACCACTAGATTTATCTTTTTTTCCCCTTTAAATAGTAAAGTTGGATGGGTACTTTGCAGTGAAGGGTTCGATTTTCACTCGTGCCTTGGCCTTAGCCACCAATCAGATAACCTCCTTCTAGTTACGTCTACGCGCTTAAAGTCTATTTTGCCCCCACTGTCCCTAAACCCCAGTGCTTTGAACAACTCTGTGCCATCATCCTGAACTATAGCGTGAAGCCCTTTACAGAACATTATCAAGTGTTCAGCAGTTTCTTCTTCCTCTTCACACGCACTTCATACTCTGCCTACCCCTTCGTATTTGGCCCGATATGTCTTGGTTCGCAATACTCCCGTCCTGGCCTCAAACAGTATAGAACTACCCCGAGTATTATCATAGATCCTTTCTTTGGCAATTTCCTGCTTAAAAGTTCGATAGATCTCTAGTGCGGACTTCTTAATCATGCCAATTCTCCACATGTCAGTCTCCGTTTCCTTCACTTTCTTCTTAACCGATAGGTCTTTTTGGTTTGGCCACCTGCTGTTTTCTAAGCATTTACCAGTCAATTTCCTGGTTCGCTTCCTCCATTTCGTATCGACATTCTTTATGTACAGGTAGCTGAAAACCTTCCTAGCCCAACGCTCCTCCCCCGTTTCTCTCAATTGCTTCTCAAATTTTATCTTGCTGCTATTTCCCTGCCCTCAAATGATGTCCATCCCATATCACCTTATACTCCCTGATTTGGTGTATTCCCGTGAGCTCCTAAAGCAAGCCTACCTATTCCACGTTGCTTAGTTTCTAATCTTGCTTGAACTTCTGACCTCATGTACAAGACCGCATTGCCGAACGTCAGCCCAGGAACCATGACCCCTTTCCATATTCCTCTCACAACATCATACCTATTGTAATTCCACAATGCCCTATTTTTCATCACTGCTGCATTCATGTTACCTTTAGTCGTCACGTATTTTTCGTGTTCCCTTAAGTACTCGGTCCCATTGCTTATCCACAGGCCCAGATATTTGTACTTATCTGTTATCTCTAGCGTGACTTCCTGTATTCTAAGCTCACTACCTTCGTTATCATTAAAAATCATGACAGCTGTTTTTTTCTTACTGAATCTAAAATCTTACCTATCTCCCTCATTACCACAGATGTCCATATCTCTGCAAATCTTCCTTGTGGTCAGCCATTAGCACTATATGATCTGCGTACATTAATGCTGGTAGTGCCTGATCAATAAGTTTTCCTTGTTTGACTAAAGAGAGGTTGAAGCCAAGTCCACTTCCCTCTGATTTGGCCTCTAATACTTGTAGGTACATCATGAATAACAAGGGTGACAGTGGACACCCCTGCCTAAGTCCCCGTTTCACCTCTGTGGGCTTGGATACCTGTTTTTTCCACTTTAGAACTATCTTGTTACTTTTATAGATTTACTTTAAAAGATTAGTGACTCCATCTTCTACACCCAGTGTGTCTAGTATTTCCCACAAGTTCTCTTGAACCACGCTATCGTACGTTCCCTTTATATCCAAAAATGCTAGCCACAGGGGCCTGAGTTCTTTTTCTGCTATTTCGATGCACTGCGTCAGTGAGAACAGATTGTCTTCCAACATCCTGTGTTTCCGAAACCCATTCTGCAGTTCACCCAGCACCCCCTCATCCTCTATCCATGCCTGCAGTCTTTCCTTTATAATCTGCAACGTCAGCCTGTAGACCACTGATGTCACTGTTATGGGACGGTAGTTGTTTATGTCATCTTTGTCCACATTTCCTTTATAAATCATGCTCATCCTGCTAAGTTTCCATCCATCAGGGACTTCACAATCGATTATAGTTCTGCTCACTGCCTCTCTCAAAGTCTGTTTAGACTTCGGACCCAATGTCTTTATCAGCATAATTGGAATGTCATCTGGGCCTGTTGATGTACTACATGGAACCCTCTTCTCAGCCCTTTCCCACTCTCGCTGTGAAAATGGAGTCATTGTGCCACTTGATCCATCCCTGTATATTGTGGTGCATAAGGCACCACTTTGTTGAAATTTTATGTCACCCTTGTTCTTATA